TGCTGAACGCAGAATATTAATTTCGGACGAATAATGGAAGAATCGTCTGCCGAAGACAAAACTTAATTCGTTTACATCCATCTTTCTTGTTTTCTGCCCTGGAAAGGGTTTATTCGATTAACAAACTAATAATGGAGATAAACAAACTTGTGAAGGGTCCGATTAAAAGAAAAATCATTTTGTGAAGGGTCCGTTTTTAAGTTAAAATATTTTGTGAAGGGTCCGTTTTTATGAAAAGATATTTTGTGAAGGGTCCGTTAACGGACCCAAATTTCTTCTAAACAGACCCCTGGAATGTGAGTAATTTTTTCACAATTTTGCGAAAAACGGACCTTTCACAAAATGTCTGGACAGACCCCTGGTACTTGTAACCATAAAATGAAAAAACCAAATCACCGTGTCACGCCAGTCAATATTTCCTCCCAACTCTTATCCAACCACGAAGATTCCGAGTAAAAATAGCTAGCCGGCGGCGAATATACAGGTGTTGCACAAAATAATGGTAACACATCTATACTAACACATTTTTCGATCTTTCTCAAAAAATACTTAGAGAATTATTTTATAAGTTTATAAGTGTTTAGGTTATGCGATGTTTCATACTTATCAATGAAGTTTAAAACTTTTAGAGGTTTGAGGGACCGACAATAAATTGCAAACGGAAAATAATGTTTTTAAACTCTCCATGCCAAAAAATGTAGCAATAAATTTTTAACGTGTAATAATTATTTTGGTTATTAAATGCGATTATTGCTCAAAAATTTGTTAAATATTTAAGGAAATTTGGACGTTTTTTTTTTAAAAAAACTATTTTTTTAAACTTACGTTTTTTTACTGTAAATTTAAAAATAATCTATAAAATTAAGCAAAATTTTTAGAGCAATTTAAGACTAATTACAAAACTACTGTTTAAAAATTTGAGACAAATTTGTTTGAAAACTGCGAAAGACGTGATTAAATAAATCAGTTCTTTTATATTATTTATTTTGTAGTGAATCGTATTTGGCAACTAATTAATAAAAAGCCCGATTTGAAAATCTTAAAAATTTAAAAAGTTTCAAGCAATTTTCAAAAAAGTTCTCGTACTTTTTAAAAGAAAGCTCACTATGATAAGTGGTTTTCGGCAACTTTCATTTTGTACTATTAAACAACCTATATTAAAAATGACACTGGCATTGTTGTTCCCTTAAAGGTATTTTTTCTTTCCTGATGCAATCATATTTCGGTGTATGGGCGTTTTATTTTAAGGAATTATCATTTGTTATTTAATTTTGTCTTACGATAGAAAATAATATTTGCGGAATACTTCTTATCTTTTCGAGCTTTCTTTAAAAAAAGTGCAAAAACTACTTAGAAAATAGCTTGAAACCTTTTGAATTTTTGAGATGTTCAAAGTGGATTTCTTTCATTAGTTGCCCCATACGATCCATTACACAAATTATGAAAAAAGATGTCACATTTTTTCGGCTCATGCATTGTATAAAAGAGCTACTTTAATTACTTATATATTGCTCAGTTTTCAACGAATTTTTTTCAAATTTTAAAGCAAAAGTTTCGTAATTAATTTTAAATTGCTCTAATTTTTTTTAAGTTATAAAAAAGGTAAGACAAAAAAAAAAAAAAGGTTTGCGAAATTTTGTGCAATTATTGTATGTACTAACCAAAATAATTGTTTCAAGTTACAAATTTATAGATACAAGTTTTGGCATAGGGTGTTCAAAAACACTATTTTCCATTTGTAAATTATTGTTACCTCTAAAAAATTTAAACTTCAAATAATTTAAAAGAAAAATTGCATGATCTAAACACTTCTGAAATAGTGATAAAATGATAATTATTTTTTAACGGCAGGCACTGAATTCTTGTTCGTTGCCTCGGAAGACACATGAGGTGTTGTTCATTTAACGTTATCCCGAGGATCGGGGTACCAGAGAATCTAAGTCACGAAAACGAAAAGCATTACCCCCGCCACACTGCCACAGATACCCGTTCATAGAATGGACCACATTTAGACATCACACGACAGAGAACACCACACAGAGAGAAACATCCCTGCCCTGAGCGGTATTCGAACCCGTAACCAATGGCTTATTGGTTACTGAGGGTAATGATTAAAATAGCCAGTCAGTTACAGAGATGGCCTCCGGTTCGTGGCTCAAAATCACAATTTATAAGTAAATAACGTACTTAATTGTATAATTTGAGCCAACATTGATACTTTAGGAACAAACACTATTTTTCTTTGACAGTTTGAATACGTCATTGAGGATGCAAGTTGAAATGGTGCTCGACTTCGCGTGCAGGTCGCCGGGCTACCGAAGCGGGGGTGCCATCCCCTCTGCAGAGGATCAAAATTGTGATGGCATGTCTTCGGATCATCCTCAGGGATGTTTCCCAGACCGTCACCAATAGCCCATTGTGCAGCTCTAGAGCGACGTAAATGAACTACAACAACAACCAGAACAGCAAGTTGAAATGCATCAAAGAAAGTCATAAGTTTGGTTCGTTGGAAGAAGAAGAAGAAGCTTTGATCTTCTGTGGTGTAATGCGAGACCATACTTTCTCAGATGGTTGGAGGCGGTACTTCTTGGTGCTGTCTCTCCTATTGTGCTATCTGTCCTCTTCTACTTGACGAAGGTTTATAAGCCTATTTTGAGCACACAAGCCTAAAAATTTATGTAATTGCAATAACCAACTTTCTAAGATATCATGTTACATAAACACACAATTAGCTTTATTCTCCAATGTATTATTAAGTCATGGGCTATTTTAATTACTTTGGTTTAACTATTGAATATTGACGCAAGCCTTGTTATTTAAATTCTTTTCTTGCTCTATAATTTCGAAGTATGTTTATTCCTTAAAACCACCTAATATCTGTGACTTCAGCTGTGTATTTACAATTTTTTTAAAAAAGTATTTTTAAGTATTTGGATGATTAATTTTTGTTATTTTATTTTCAGACGCTCATTTGAAGAGCAGTTATGGAAATTTAATTCAAAAAATCTGTTTATCATACATTTTCGCAGCATAATTAGCTATGGAAGCTGTTCATCTTATCTTTGCTATCCTATCTTTGTTCTGCTTATCGAAGATAAGCGCTGTTGAATACTCTCAATTGGTAAACATGGGTATTAATTGCCCAAGTTCGATCAGCTGCGATGCCATTGGTCGCGCCAACTTCACCAGACGAAATTGCGAATGCGATCGCAATTGCGCTACCTATCAGGATTGTTGCGTTGATGCCAGATCAAGTTCTACATCTCAAAACAGACGGAGTGCTACCTATTCCTGCATGCCATTTGGAAACATACCCCACATGGGAGCATACGTCATCCAAACATGCTCCAGGAATTATAATGGCCCTGCTGAAATGCAACGCAGATGCCAAGATCACAATAACCAAAGTGATCCGTTAATGTCTGCTCCAGTAACAGATACCGTGTCCCAAATCTCTTATAGGAACAGATACTGCGCTGAGTGCAATAACGTTGACATGTCTAACGCACAAAGCTGGGTGATACAAATGATTTGTGACTTTACATCAAATGTCAATGCGAATAACAGCTTCATCTATCGGAATATTTACTATGTTCCCACTTCAAACGAGTGGAAGGTTGATGTCAATGGCAGATCCTATAAGTGTAATTTGAAGTACGACATACCAGCGTATTTGCAGAACAAAGTCCGTCTATGCAGATCGAACGTAATATCCAGTTGCGCAAGTACCTGGACTCGGAAAAGAGTCCAGCGTGAGTGCGAGTCTTATACTGCCATTATGTACGTTAAAGGAAGTGATAAAGTGTACAAGAACCCGCACTGTGCTCTCTGTAATCATGTGACTGTGGACGCCCTGGCGTGTACTCCTGGTGAGTCAGCGGGAAAAAGAAAACCATTCTCTTTTACTTTGCTCATGGACTGGAATCTGAGTAATGAAGGAGAAGTGGTTGGCGTGTCGAGTGGATCTTGTGGATCGAATCAGAAATATGATCCGTACGCCAAAAAGTGCCGTAATTTAGTCTGCTCTCTGCCAGGATATGAAATGATTAATGGTAAATGTAAGAAGCCGTAGTAACAATCAGAGACATATTATAGAGGATAAACCACTCCAGCCAAAATAGCTAAAGAAAACAAAGCGCCATTGTCACACACCTGGGCCTTTTCTCCTTCTCCTACAACTAGCACCATGACAGTTTCAACGATATTTTCCCATTCTTATCATAGAAATTCAAGACTCGTACTGCTTAATTTCTTCATTTGAAATATAAGTAAATAATATTTGAGCTGAATACTCTTTGATGTATATTTTCAAGAGTGGACATTTTCTGAAAATACTAAAATAAGTTTTATTCTTTGTAATGAAACTAAATGATGAACGTTTACTGCTTATAAGTATCACTAGATGGCAGGGCCAGTTACTATAGTTAATAGTTCCATAAAGTTTTTAACTCATTGAAATCAAAGATATCGACTTACTATACTATAAAATTTTCTTTTTTTATAAAGTGGGTTTCCTTTCCTCCCTTCCTCCATGGGAAAAGGTAAAAACTTAATCACTTGTGAATAGCATAAAAAACTAATTTTGTAAATTTTATTCTAGAAAGGAATTATGAAAAACTTTTATTTTTATCATTATCGCTAGATAACGGCATCATTAGAAGAAGGCGAGATCGTTTTAAGTTTTATATACGTTTTTAAAAAAGTAAAAAGTGGTGTCAAAATTCACCTTTTTTATCAGTAATTTTAAATTAAAAATAAAGCCGCAATATTAAATCTATTATATTATTGTGAGAAGAATATCAAACAATGATTTTCTACCTAGGTGGAGTGATGCCTCTTATTTTTTCCTCTTTGGTAAAAACTTATTTTGTTGATAAATATATCATTGTGCAATGTAATAAATATTTTCATTGAATTCTTTTTAGTTCAAATACTGTGCAAATAAATTTTTATTTTAATATTTTCAATGTCTTAATAATTTCACTGAAATAATTGTTGTATTTGATGGACAGTACAACTCTGTTTTAATTTAATACTTATAAAAGAAATAATAGGAACAAATGATGATAAAAATTTAAGTAATAAAGAAAACTAACACTGATGTTTTGTTATTTATTTTATTCATAAAATTAGTTTGTGGAACAAAGGTGATATAAGGGCAAAATTTTGCGTAACAAAATATGTTTTAGTCTCGCTCTATCATCAAAGCTTCTTTATTCAGAGCATATTTTTCTTCCGCCAATTTTTCTGAAGCATGGAAGTGGCGGGTTCGATTCCCGCTGTACACTGTTCGTATTAACAAATCAGTAAATATAGGTATGAAGGAATATGAAACTCTACACAGTTTATAAATGTTTTTCTTTTCTTTTCTTTCTACTTCAGCACATTATTAATGTGGGATTTTGACCCTGTACGATTGCTTTTTTTTTTTATATGTACTTCTATCATAATTCAGTTGAAATGGCTCAATCAATCAAGAAAAATTATTTATTATTAATACGGCACTGATTTTTTTCTTTGTCATCAATTTGACAAAGTTTTGCCCTGATTTAGAAGAATTAAAATTGGATTGAAAAGTGTAATTTTATTAACATAAATGATTTAATAAATAAACTGTATTTATTGACTTGGATGAAATTAACTCGGTTAATTGTTAATAAATTTAGCAAAGATTCACTTTATACAGCTTGGAATTTTGAGAAAAAACGTTTTTTAAGTTATTCCAATCGTGTTCTACATAACTTGCTATATTTTAAACTACTAGATACTTTTTAAAATGCTTATCGAACATTTTAGGTGTTCCTCAATAAGCACCCTCAATATATATTTTTATAGTTCCTCTGAAAAAGGAAATAAAAAAAAAGCCTACACATTATGGGCCACAAGTTAATATATTTAAGTAAGGAAGAAACCAAAACACAAAAGTAAATGAAATCTAACGAATTAATATTCTGGAAACATTAAAACCTATTTGATTGCCGGAAGATGTAAAAAGATGCTGAAATGAGATTTTTAGAAATACCTTTAAGTTTCATCAAACAATCAAACTGGTTTTGACGGTTTTCATTACACCTTCCGCACTAGCGATTCCACACTTTTCATATAGCGATTTTACATATTTTGTTCTTATATTGTTTGATTTCCCTAAAGCGTACTTTTTAACTTAATTTTTTAACAAGATTTTTAAAAAGGGATCCTCATGAAACTCTGATTTATCGGAATATTTTATATTGTTGACTGAAAAGAAAAGAAAATTATTGTAATTATAATTTGAAAATTATAAATCGTATTTAAAAATTTTTGTCACGTGAGAGGCTCTTCCTCTCTGATTACCTTCATCCACCTTGTCCAGTGAAATTTAATCAATGCTGTTGTTGTTCATTTACGTCGCACTAGAGCTGCACAATGGGCTATTGGCGACGGTCTGGGAAACATCCCGGAGGATGATCCGAAGACATGCCATCACAATTTTGATCCTCTACGGAGGGGATGGCACCACCGCTTTGGTAGCCCGACGACCTGTACACGAAGTCGAGCACTTTACGGTAGAACAGTTTAACGAGGACCAATACCGCACACCCTTGGTCCTTACGCAGGCTGATCCAAGTGGTCACTCACCCGCACACTGACCGCAGCCAGTGATGCTTGACTTCGGTGATCTGCTGGGAACCGTGTCTTAACGATCAGTCCACTGCAGGACAAATCAATGTTGTAATGGTCCCTCAGTGAACTGATCGTTAAGACACGGTTCCCAGTAGAACACCAAAGTCAAGCATCACTGGCTGGGGTCAGTAAGCAGATGGGTCTTTAATCAGCCTATGTAGGGACCAAGGGCTTGAGTATCAGTCCTCGTTAAACTGTTCTACAGTAAAGTGTTCGACTTCGCATGCAGGGCTGACGATGTGGAAGAACCACCCATCTGCAGAGGATCAAAATTGTGATGGCATATCTTTGTATTATTCTGAGAAATTTTTCCCAGACCATCGCCAAAAGCCCATTGTGCAGCTCTAGTGGATCATAAATAAAATACCTACCTTCCAATGTTGTATAGTCAAATTGTGATTGAAATAAGCTCTTACTCAAAGAAATACCAATTTTTTTTTCTTCAAAAATGTCATTTCCAATCTTTTATTATAAAACTCTTTAAATTTTTTCATAGTGAATAATCTAATCTCTTTCCAGAGATTAACATAAGTTATTAACCTTAAAAAAATGTTTTTCCGAATCTTATTGTCTTAAAGAACTAGAGTATTTATCTTGAATTTAGGCATGAAGTTAGGGGAAACATCATTGAAAGATTTTCAAGTTATCTAATGTAATCCGTAATTGAATAATGCCACCTTGTAAGCGACACGGCACTTTTATTTCACTATTTGTTGTGCTACAAAAACCATTTTCTTAAATTATATTTTTGTCATGTTACAATTTAGTAGTATAATTATAATTTTTTTTTTTGTTGTATGCCTGTTTAGGCAGTGGGGGTGCGATGGTTCCGGTTTTTCAATGACTCCATCTATGGACAGGAATTCGACTTCTGCCACGCCATTCACACAACCCGATTATACGACGGGCCACATTCACACACAAAGGAGAAAGGACATCCATGCCTTGCCCGGGATTGAACCCAGGACCTTTCTGAAGCAAGGACAGTCCCCTGCCCCCTACACAGGCCTGTCGGCATAAATATAATTGATATTATAATTATATCCAATGGCAATTAAACTTAAAATACTTTCGGACGGTGAAGTGCTCATTTTATATAAATTTATAGGTTGCATATGTCAAAGGTATAATAGTATTCTAAATCTTGTGTATCATAAATGATATGTAAACCTCTTATAAATTTAAAAATATAAAATAAACATATTTTTAAATTTTTTTCTTCATGCTTATACTATCAGATGATACACAAACAATCCCTCACATTTCTATTTAACTATGTCTGACATGTTTGTAGTTATAAGTACAAAGCTATACTTTTTTTACATAAAAATTTTATTACATTTTAAGTCCCATTGTATTTTTAGACTTCTTGTCTATGCTTTGATCTCATTTGAAACCGAGTTGAAGGAAAAAAGCCATTGTAAAAAAATATCTTACTTTCTCAGATAATAATGTTGTATGTGTAAATAGGTAAAAGTCAAAATTTTTACTTTACTTACTACCTGGCTTAATGCCTGAGCCACAGTGGTTCAGGGCATAGAGAATTCAGACCCAGGTTCAAATCCCAGTGGTGCTAATCAATATGAATTCTGCAACTGGTTTGCACTGACCCCAGTATTGGCGTAAAATATCCTCAAGGGTAGACGGATTATGGGTTTAAATCTTCTTGCCGTTGAGTTTTGTAGTTTTCCTCTCCATGTAACACGTAGGCAGATCCACCATTATTCTTAATAATGCAGAATATAACAAGAAATAAAAATTTGATCATTTTGTAGTGGTTTAGTTACTAATATTGATTCTGTTACAGGTGAGTTTTTTTTTTAATTATGTCCCTAGTTTTTAGCTAATTAAATGATGAAATTAGAATATCAAGCTATTTTCTCGATGGTTTGATTTAAACATTTAAATTAATAATAATTCAATAATTTAAAATAACATTTTAATTAGTGAATCAAAAGAGAGTGAGAAAAATATATCTAATAAATTTATTGTGTTGGGGATACGGAGAATGTGACGAAATAAATTTAAAATTTGTTAACATGAGTAAATTAATTATTATTGTTTTTAAATAGCTAAACATTATTTCATGCATATGCATGTAAATGCAGAAATTCGTTGTATCTTTTTCCATTTTACTTTTAGAACAATGAAACTATATAAATTGTTCTCTGATGCACTGTGATTTAAATATAAGATAGACAAGTTCTTTTAATTCCAACGGTTTATTCCTTAATAATGATTGAAAAGTTTTTGAATTAGAAATAGGTATAAAACCTTTTGCATTTTGTTAATTTCAGTATTTTTGCTTCGTTTAATNATGTAAATTGGTTGAATAATTATCGAGGAATTAAAATTCAAAGCAAAACATTTATTATCATTATTAATTTTAAATTGTATTTTCTCGAAAACTATTCGACCGATTTACTTTGATTTTTGGTCAACCAAGAATGTGTCGTAGAAACATCGTCGAAAAATAAAGTTTTTTTTTTCGGTTTTAATAAGACACTTACACCACTTTTGGAGAAGAAAACTATCTTTAATTTTTTTCTTTCAAGAAAAGTAAATATTTGCCATACCTAAAATGATTAACTTGAGAAACACGAAGCATTATACTTTTATCACCGTTTTAAAATTCCCTCTCGTTTTTTGTTTTAAGTGTGACAAAAATAAAATTATTTTCTGATCAGTCTTCATAAAAAATTGTTTTTATAGAAATTTAATTTTTGAACAGCAGGAAAGATAAAAAAAATTTGATTCACAAACTATTACAAAAGTAAACATTTAGTATCGTTTGCTCTAATCAGCGTACTTTTTTTACCTTTAAACAGCGTAATTTTTTAATGAAATAATACAAAATAAACTCTATGGGTAACACTTTGTTATCTAAACTTAATTTTTTTCTTATACAAAACAAACATTAAAAATTTTTTTTTATTGAAAATGTATAATTTGAACGAAAAATCGAAGATGGCAGACGATATCTATTGACTACCCAGTTACGATGTACGTGATAAATTTATTAAATAAATTCCAAGAGAAAAAGCGACCAAACAGCTAAATTATATATTGCGTCATCATTTTAGACGAGGTCAACAGTGACCGCGAATCTAATTGGATTAACAGATAAATTTTACATGCGGGAAAGATTTTCTTAGTAGACGCGTGGTGATTTTAAGTACCTATCAGTTTTCTTTGTTAGTTAAAGGATCCGTTGCTTTTACTTGATAAGTAAACCAATAAGGATTAATTATTAAAGAAGTGGTTTTGAATTAGTAAGTATAGTTTGTCTTTCAGTGCAAGATTTAATATAATATTTTTGGGCAAAATTTAAATCTTAAAAAATCAGCCCTACAAAGGGCTGATTTTTTTTCTCCATAACTTCTGCGTCACCGTTACGCATTAGAGAGAAAAGAACGCTCCAGCGTTTTTATAGTAATTTTTGATCTCTGTCTTCTTAAGCAGTCAAACTAGTAGAACGTAATTTCTAGAGGAGGAAAACAAAACTATTTAGATTGAAAGGAGAAAAAAAAATGCATTGAATAGATACGTATTCATAAAAATTTTAATGCATATTTCAAATTCATTTCTATGCTACTTAAATTATTAACACGTAAGTGGAAAATTTTGTAAATGGAATAATTTGAAAAAAATTATTTTTTCCTGCAAACTATTAAATGTAAGCAAAATATTTAAATTTTTAAAGCAACTATTTAATTAATAAAAAATAATGCTAGTAATATAGTAACAGATTCAAAGCTTTAGTGTCTGTTGTAGCCTAGCACAACATACAACTTAAGCAGCACTTAGTTTGTGCCCAGAGAAGTTTTCATCTAAATATAATTATTATTTTCATTTTTAATATGCCTGATTTGGTTAAAACACGGATTAATTTTCCTGCCAAATTGTGACAAAAAAAATAAATAATAAAGTTTTTTAAAAAACAATTTATTAATCTAATTGATTTTTGCATTCAAAGCAGGAATCGCAACTGTTATAAGTATTGCATTTATGATTTTTAATATGGGGAAAATATAGCATTTTTTACATAAAGTTGTTTTTTTTTTCTTCTTGAAAAACGTGAAAATATTATTTTCTGAAAATTTTATGTAACTAGAAAGATTTTTTTTCAAAATTCAACTGTGTTATGGTATATTTATCAGATATGGTATGGTATAATTATCAGAATTATACTTTGTTATGAGCCACTTACTATCACGGGAAAAAAGCAGAAAATAAAAGAACAAAATGAATTTTTGAAAACAAATCCTTTATTTTTCATACGATTACAATAATTTTAGTTAGATACGTTGCATGACCAATTAAAATTATAATAAATCCAGATAATGCAAGCATGAGCAACAAAAGAGATAGCGTAAGCATTAGACAAACTACCCTAAAATACAGATTAATACGTTCGTTACCGGACAGCATGACGAAAATTCTTTCTACAGTTTACAGTTAGTAAGACGCATATTATCATCTAACTATTTTTACAGAAATATATTTTCTGATGACAATAACATAATGTTGCTTCAGGTTTATCCTTATATTACTGCTCTAGTCTAAAAAGTATTAAAAAACCAACCCCAGCCAATTCCTATTTCTTTTCCATTCATTGCTCAATTACTCCTCCTCAACTGCAATTTGAATTTGACTTTTTATGAATTAAAAAAAATAATAGTAAATTTGTATTTCGATTTGAAGTTTTTTGCAAGAAAAAATCAACCATAAAAACTTGTTAAGTTTTGCTTTCGGCTAAGAACATTTGACGAATGCTTTTGATATCTGGGTAATTTAATGGCTAATAACTTGAAGTCCTTAGCGTGTGAGCCCTACATCTATTAACAAAATTAAAAAGTGTTGTTTGACTATTTTTCTTCTTCTTGTAGACCGATTTTTTGCATTTCCCTTTTGGGATTGTTCAAATATTGTGAAGGCACCCAAAGTTGTATATTTTTTGCTGACAAATAGAAGTCTAAAATCACCAAATATATGTTACACAATTTTTAATAAATTCCTTTGTGATAAAAATACCAAGTTCCCATATTAAATAGGATATAAAAAAACTATTAAAATATAAATGTAGTTTAAATTTTAGTTATGCATTTTACCATTTTTATCGATATTTATAGAAGTAAAACACGTAAATTGATGTATTCTGATAAATTTTATTATTCTGGAAGAAGGCTTATTGCATAGAGCAGGGGTGGCGAACCTTTATACACCAACGTGCCATTTTTTCCAAAATTTTTTTTAATGAGGTCATAGACGTGCCGTCAAATAATTTTGCCTTCGTGATTATTGGGAAAATAATACTACTAAATCAGTGTTTCTTAACCTTTTTGGTATAATGGACCCCTTTTAAAGGTTTTTAAGAAGTCACGGACCACCCCCCTGTGAAAAAAATAATTGCAAAAACCATCCATTATTAGAAAACATTTAATTTTATTACTTTAATGTTGTTGTTGTAGTTAATTTACGTCGCACTAGAGCTGCACAATGGGCTATTGGCGACGGTCTGGGAAACATCCATGAGGATGATCCGAAGACATGCCATCGCAATATTGATCCTCTGCAGAGGGGATGGCACCCCTGCTTAGGTAGCCCAACGACCTGCCTTATTTTAATAGTATACAAAATTTTTATAATTAAAATTTTTAATGTGAAGGTTGCTGCTGCTTTTCCTTAATTAACTAATTGAATTGGGGGATAGTTTTCGACAACATCGTTCGATGTTCAACATTCAATCGATTTCGATGTTTTGTTTTTATTGCCACGAGTGTAGAAAATCTCGCTTCTCAAAGATACACAGTAGCAAACGGAATTATAGCTGCCATAGATCGCTTTGCAGGCAAAGGGTAGGCTTCCAAACGTTTTAAAAATTAGGAGTAGTTAGCGGACCCCCAAAATATGACTCATGGACCCTTTAGGGGTTCATGAACCACAGGTTAAGAAACCCTGTACTAAATACTATCAACTCAAAACTCTTTCATTACATTGGAAAAAAAATATTTTGCAATGTCTTAGTTTTACGCGTAATTCAACTTAAAGTAACATCAGTGTGACTTCTGTTGTTGCAGATTAGATGACAAATAACTTGTATTAGATTGTAAGATGTTAGTTTAAGCAGGACTGTTTATTTTTTTTGTTAGTTATTTATCGTTAGCTTGTTTTTTATGGTTATTAATAGCTTTTTTAGTGTTAATTGATCATTTTTTCATTAATAATTGTTTATTATTTTGCGTGTTTTTGTGAATTTTAATTTAATTGTTACATATGCTTCATAGTGTAATAGGATTTGAGTAATAACAATTCATAGTGTAATAACGAAAGTGATCGGTGGCGTGCCCAAAATATTGTGTCGGGTGCCATAAATGACACGCGTGCCATTGGTTCGCCATCCCTGGCATAGAGTGTTTGCAATGAGCCTTGATTATTTCGACTTATTGTATATAGCCTTGTCAATGACGAATTAAAGTAAGCCGAGCAAAATAAAGACTTATCAAAAAACTGAAATAAAATTAATACATTAACAATAAAACAAACTTTAATGAAATTAACCTTGAACTGTATAATTTTGATCAGGAAATAAAGACCAAACATTACTTTGTAATTGTTATTATTCACAAAGTCAATTGGCATTGAAATATGTGTTAAAAAAAGCTTAACTAGACACAGAAATAATGAAGGTTTTAACAGCAACGACCATTTAAATCATTGTTGATAGATAGTAGTTACATATTTTTTTTTATTCACAAGTTTTATTCCCAACAAAAATAGAATAAACTGTTTAAATAATTTTAGATTTTTTAATGGGTCTTAACGAAGTCGTCGCTTCTAACTTGAGCACTCAACTTATAATATGCAATTAATTTACAGTTGAAAATTAAGTAAGGGCTTACGTTAACTAAACAGAAATTTTAAAATGAATTTGTTCAATTCACCTCCAAATACATCCAAAAGAATATATTCAAAATTGAAGTGAAGTTTAAATTATATTTTGGCCACATGATCGCCAATTACAAAAATCTAATTATTTTCGTCAAAAACTGTTTCCCGTATATAAAATTAAATATCCTTGTTTTTTTTCATATTTAATTTAAAAGTTGATGTCATTTCGTTAAGTAAGTAGAAATGATTTATATTTGGGTCATTCTCACTGAAAAGGTATAAATAGACTAAAAAATTTTCATAAATTAAAGTAATTAAAAAAGTGATAAAAATTACATAAATGCCTTTATTTATTTTTGTGTCCTCATAATGGTCAAGTTTTCTATTTTATTTTTTTACAAGATTTAAAATATTTTAAATTCTGTCTTGTCCACGGAGGAGACATTTTATGTTACAAAATATAAAATGTCAATGAAAACTAATTCATTAATTATTGGGTACAACTGATATGAGTTTAACATTAATAAGTAAATAATGAAATATTTCATTATTAGAGATAGAGCTACTTCCGATTAATCATGCTGCTATGAAAGGAAACATGCATTTTTAAACTAATTGATTTTCTTTAAAAATACAAACAAATTAACACATTTGTTCCATTATAAAAAATATCAATTAAAAAAAATAGTTTTTTAATTATTGAAATTGTATTATGGTTATCTGACACATTGTCTCTTCCATTGACTTAACAAGTCCACGGAGGAGACAAAAACTAGTTCTTGAATTTTTCTGATTTTTGATTTTAAAGTTACAAAAATGGCGCAGTTCTTTTTATTAAATATATAGTGAATTCGCGATAACTCGAATCTGATAGGACTGATGAAAAACTTCGACATATCGGAAGTTCGACTTACCGTTAGTTTCGTTTTTGGACTTTCAAAATAAAATATTGTCGCATTATTTAATTAATGCTTATTAATTACAAATCTTCTAAATGNCCACGGAGTATACATTGAGAACTTTGCCAAACCCCAGTTGAATACAACAATCCGAAACTGACACCAAAGAGGACAAAAACAACTGATAGTTAACATTAGAAAATAGAATGGTTACCTTTCCCACCAGCTGTCTTATAGGGATTTCGCATATACGAATTTCGTTTATTGCATATTTACCGAACTATATTAATTGTCCACGGAGGGAGACATCATTTTTGATGGACAAAGTTTACTAGTCATTTATTTTATAAAAATAAATTTTTTTTAAAAAATATTAAATAAAAAGTTACTANCTTTTTTTAGCGAAGAATTTCCGATCCAATTTTCTTACATAGTCTTCAAATAAAACTGATGTCATCCAAAACTTTTTGTTAGACTTCTAA